TTCTTCAATCTTCTATTTTACTGCCTGGGATTACCCAATCCGAAAGCAATTAATTCTACAGCGGAATGGCCTCATACCGGGTGAAGGACGATCATTGGTCGCGGTAATTCGAAGAAGGATGGGTGAAGTCCTTGGATCATTAATCTCAGAGCAGATAAAGGTGTAAACAAATGTGCTGGAGCAGCTGATGACCCTTCGGGGAAATTATTTTGGATCTTAGCCCCGGGGGAAGTCGTTAAGGATTCGACGAATAGATAATTCTTCACGGTTTTGGCGAGATGTTACGTATGTCTGAATTATTTGAGAAAACGTTTGATAATTAATCATCATGAAGCAGACCATTTTTCTTGCTGGCGATTATTCTGTTTCGCTCCTGGGGAGATCATTGAGGACTCGGGGAGATTAGGTATTTATTTTTTATGCTGTCAGGCTGATGTCTGAATTATTCAAGAATACGTTTGACAATTAATGATTATCGCGAGTATTTTATCTTCGTGTGGGATTTTTTGTTTTAATTCTGGGGAACTGTTGGCGAGTCCGAATGATTCAGAGAATCGGTTGAAAATGAGATACTAGTATCGATAATTTATGTTTAGAGTGATGGGGATGCTGAGTCTCTTTGTTGAAGGATTATTTTTTGTTTTATTCCTGGAGAGGTCGTTAGAGAGTCAATGAGAACTGATAATTGTTTACAAGCTTGTTGAATACAGGTTTGAATTGTTAATGAAAACGTTCAATGATCAGGGAATATTTTACATTTTATTTCTGTTGGAATCACTCAATATTTGACGGATCGATAATTTTTAATTATTTGTTGAAGTTGAAAATTAACAAATTAACAAATATCATTAAAATTTTCATCCGCAGTAATTGTTTCAAATTTTATCTTTGGGGCTCATTGAGGATAATTTTTCACAATCTTGTTTTATGTGAGTTTGAATTATTAAAGAAAACGTTCAACAATCCTGAGGAATATTTTTATAAATAACAAAATTGGGGTGGGAGCAGTTAGTTTCCCTGATTGAGGGATTATTTCAAATTTTATCTCTGCGAGAGTCACTCAATATTCGACGGATAGATAATTTTTAGGCGATTTGTAAAGTCCAAGTGATTGGGAAAAACGTTGAATAATTAAGAATTGTGACTAATATTGCCATCAATAGTAATGGGACAGCTCATTCCTCTTGTCGAAGAATTATTTCTAATTGAATTTCTGGGAAGATCATTAAAAATTACTCAAATCGATCAATTTAACGATGTTGTTGAGCTGCAATTTTTAAAGCTCTTTTGTAAATTGACAAATATGATAACAATTTTCATCTGCAGTAATTGTCTCAAATTTTATATCTTCGGGGCTCATTGAGGATTCAACGAGAACAGATAATTTTTTACAATCTTGTTGAATGTACGTCAGAATTACGCAAGAAAACGTTCGAGAAAACAATTGTTTGGAATATTTTTATCTTCAACAATATTGGCACAGAAGCAGTTAATTTCTGTGATTGAGGAATCATTTCAAATTTTATTTGTTGTAATTCTTCAATATTTGTCAAATAGATAATTTTTATAATTTTTCTAACGTTTAAAAATGGAAAATTGTGAGTATTAGTCGCATCACCTGTAACGGAACAGCTGATTTTTATTTTTGAAGAATTATTCTCAATTTTATCTCATTAAGAATCAAACGAATAAATAAATTTCAACAATTTCGTTGAGCGCCAATTTTCCAAGAGATAAGGGACATGTTGATGATAAATTAACAATTATCATCTGCATTTTCATTTACAATAATTATTTCAAATTTTATATTTTTGCGAGTCTGAATTATTTAAAGAAACTTTCGTCGATTATCAGATACATTTTTCCAATAATGTTAAAAAAATCATAATTATTAAAAAAATAATTGAAAAAAATGAATAAAATGTTGGAAATAATTGAGAATAACGTTTAAAAATCAATAATAATTCTCAGCCCCACTATCTGCAAGGAAAAATCGCCGAATGTCACTGCAAAATCTCGACAAATTAATCAGCCAGCGAAAATTTTCCCCAATAAATAACCATTAAAACGGACTCTTCGTAAATCAATTGAAATTGATTTTCAGCATTTGACACCGAACAAACGACAGAAGGGAAGGTCCCGAGAATCTCGATCTTCCGAGCACGTGAAAGCAATTTCTGCGTCTAATGTTACATCATGCGCAAGTCATTAACCCGCAGTTGATTTCGAACCACTAGGACTATCCACTTGAACGCACTTTTTCGTCATTTCTATTCAGCGATTAATCCTCGAAGCGTCGTTTTAATTGACTGGTCGAGATAAGTCGGTTGAAAAATTCTGCTTCATCACTTTTTTTTCTCTTATTTTTTCATGTACCGAGAAAGGTGTGCCGGCAATTTGATTAGCGGTAACAGTGTCACTTGCATTCTTATGCAAATACAAATATAAAGGTTGAATAAATATATTAGTATCGGTTTGTGATGGAGAGTTATCAATATTGATGAAGGTTTTGCCTAAAAAAAATTATTATAATCATTCACCTGAAGAATAAAACTAATTTCAATTTTTGCCTCAACAAAATGAATGAAAATCCCTTTAATTAGTTGAATTAATAAATGAAAATTGCATTTCTTCATAAATAAATTGTGTTTCCCGCTAGTTTTCTTTTTTATTCACATTTATCTGTAACAGCGATACGAAAAGAAGAAAAAATTCTTGTAAAATAGAAATAAATATGATAAAAAATTATTATAATCCGGCACCTGAAGAATAAAAACCAATTCCAATATTTTTTCCCAAAAAAAAATGAATGAAAATCGCTGGAATGAGTTGAATCAACGAATGAAAATTATATTCCTTCATGAATAAACTGTTTTTCCCGCTTGTTTTCTCTTCTATTCCCCACTCTATCTGTAGCAGCCGCACGAAACGGCTGAAAAGAGAGAGAAAAAAACTTGTAAATTAGGAAAAAAAATGTATTAACTCTTCCCGACGCGTGTTACACTGATTTTAAAATGCCACTCGTGAATAACAGATACACGTGTACGTGCGTACAACGACATTTGCCGCCTGCCAGGTTGTCTCCGCACACGTCGACTCGAGCTACGTTTTTTTTCCAACACCAATACAACTTGTCTGATATGAAGAGAATAAAAGGAGGAAAAAAAAATGTTTCGCGCTGTGTTTTAACGCACAGTCAGCAGTTATTTGACTGGCTCGACGCATTATTGATTTGCTCATTGTATAATAAATGTTTGGGTTACTGAGGAAATGGAAAATTATCGGTTCTTGGGTAATCGTGTGAGGTTTTTTATCCATTTGTTTCGCGTGAGTCATATCTCCGGACAATTAAGTCAGGTAGAAGAAGTGAAAATGTTGGCCATGGCTTTGAAAGTATTCGATTTTTACAATCTATTCAAAAAAAAAACTTAACATTTTGCACTCATGACATGTGATAAACGCGCAAGAATGTATTCTCTCCATTTTTTTTATCATTACGAAGCGGAGTATGAATAATCTGTTTGAAAATGTTGAAGACTCCGCGAAATAAAATTTCCAAAAATGCCCGAAAATCGCAGGAATGCAACTTCTTTCTACCCAGTGAATTTAAAAATTCCTCAAAACGACCTCAAAATTTTCCGTATGCGTATCCACGTATTTCGTACGATATATATCGCCTTATACATATTGGTTCTAGCTTTAGAAAGTCTCGAAAGGATCGTGATTTATATTACTGTCGCCTCTCAGTATTAGTACACACGTATATTCAACCGAGCGTCTCTCGTCCAATCTGCAACACTTCATTTCACAACACATGCACACACGCGTGAATAAAAAAAGCATTCCAATTTTTATTGACGTTTTTTTATTATTGTAATACGATTGCAAAACGAAGGACTCAAAATGCTAATGGTTATCCTCGCCTGCACTATTTTCCATTGATTAAAAATGAATGCTGTTCCTTGCGTAAATTCACCAGAATGAATTTGCAATAAATTAAAAACTCCGGGGTTATTTTTATCCCCTCGATCGACTGAAAATTGAATGAAAATGTCAGTTGATCGATTTTTAATTGAATTCGTATTCGGTAAAAATCGATAAGGTAATTGAATAATTCCCCTACGATGCCAAGGAAAATGATCGAGAGTACAAGTCTGGAATACCAAGTATAGGCATTAAAATACGTTATAGTCAACCACCCGTGGCAATGATCGTAGCATTCCGTAGTCAAGTGGGAAGTGTGTCAAAGAACGTTTGTGAGCGTTATAGACTCGTGTTTCCAAGCTGCGGCTCTCGTAACACCTTTTTCGAAAATCCCTCTCGATTCTAAAACCTATAAATACCCAACAAAAGGAGATACGAGAGGTGCGCATCCGAGAGACCAATCATTAGAGGATGAGGGAAATAAGAAAAAAAGGATATCCTAACGTTTCTTCACGGCGAGCTGAGTTAATCATCTACTCTCACACGTATTGCCGATCGACACTTCTTGCATGCCTCGTTTTAAATCTAAATATAAACCACCTGAACCTACTTAGACTCAATGAATCTACCCCAGCAGTTTTAAACTCATTAACGCCTCGGGACTGAACGGCAACAAGAGTTTCAATTTGTCTCTTTAATGGATCTTTCATTATTATTTCGTGTTATCGCGTGTCCTCGGGGCACAACCTGCGGGCCCCGATCGATCGCCGATCTGCTGGTCGATCGTATTCCACGGATCGTATTTCAATATCATAACGTAATGTGAGGAGAGGAAGTGATGGGAAATTGCTCGGCGGTAGAATAATCGATGAGTAATTATTTTTCGATTTAAACCGATGGCGTTGGCGTATCGGAGAGTTCACTCGGCGATTTTACTCCGATCCGGAGGTGTTGATGATGATGTTTCGGGCGTGTGTTGTCCGTCAAACATTGAGAATTATTCAGAGTGAATTTTATCGGTTTGTCATCACAGCCACAATTTTTTAAATCATTTAAAAAATTTTTTTGTTACTCACGTTTTTGCGGATGTGAAACGTCCGAATCAATGAATAAAATATATTTCCACCCCTCGGGTTACGGTCGTCCTCGTAAACAATAAAAAAATCACCTTTCGTTTCACAATTAAAGGATCAACGGCTGTTATTCAAACGCAGTGGGAATAATTAATTTGTCTCGGTTTGTCACGACGAATCACGGTACAAATAACGTCCGAACACTTCGGGGGTTCGGAGACAACTGAACAGTCCAACCGTCTTTGGATCGGTACTGTTTGCCCGTAAGTTTGTGCCACCAACGATATTCCTTCGGTTAGGAATAAGCTTTGCCAAGTGTACAACTCAAAGTCTACTATACTCCTCTTGGTTCTCCTATACTGTCAACTTCCCCCCCCCCCCCTGGGATTCTCTCTTTTTTTTCTGAAATTGTCTTTTTTTCCCCGCACGAATGGAGACACCGGAGAGCTTCGAGATTGTTGTATACACAATGACGAGGAGTGGGGGATTAACGACGCGTTTTAATGAGAAATGTAGGTTTTTTTTTCGCTGGAGGAATTGATTTTTGTGTTTGGGTAAACACGATTGACTGTCAAATGTTGGTAATTGAAATGGAGAACATGGAATTAGGAGGAGTATTTTAATTTAAGTCGGTTCGGAGCGATAACTGGGGTTAATGAGTGAGATTAGAGTCTTTGGTAATTGTGTGTTTAGCTCGGAAACTTGGGATTTTAGGAAGAAATGTGGTGTGAGGATTTTTTTTTGTTGTTTATGAAATTTCATATAGAAAAGGTTTAGAGAAATTCAGAAATATAGGTTTTTTTTTTGTTGGAGGAATTGATTTTTGTGTTTGGGTAAACAAGTTGGGCTGTCAAATTTTGGTGACTGAAAAGGAGAAGATGGAACTGGGAGGAGTATTTTAATTCATTACCAATTCGGAGCGAATAGTTAATGTCAGTGAATGAAATTAGATTTTTTGGTAATTGTGTATTTATTTTGGAATTTTGGGATTTTAGGAAGAAATATGAGGGTTTTTTGTAGGATATAAAGATATATAAATATTAACATAGCTTTTTCGGGGAAGGAATTGATTTTATATTTGACTAAACACGACCACTTTTGTGCGTCAGATTTCGGTAACGAAATGGAGAAGATAAAATTAGGAGAATTATTTTAATTCAGGTCAATTAGGAGCGACAGCTATTGTTAATTAATGAGATTAATTTTTTTCGTAATTGCGTATTTATGTCGGAAAATTGTGATTTTAGAGAAAATTGTGAGGATTTTTTTTGTAGTTTATGAAATTTTATACAGAAAGAATTTAAAGTAAGTCAGAAATTTTTTTTTTTCGTTGGACAAATCGATTGTATATTTGGGTTGACAGAATCACTTTCGTATATCAGATTTTGGTAATGAAATGGAGATGAAACTAAAAGAATCATTTTAATTCATGTGAATTAGGAGCGAATAACTAATGTCAATGAACGAGATTAAATTTTTTGGTAATGTGCATTTATCTCGGAAACTTATATTTTTATGTTAAAACGTAAGGTTTCTCTGAAGTCTATGAAATTTCCTACAGAAAAGGTTTAGACACAGTTTTTTTTTCGTTGGACGAATTAATTCTATATTTGGGTAAACACGATCACTTGTGCGTGTCACATTTTCGTAGATGAAATGGAACATGAAACAAGCAGAACTATTTTTATTTCAGGCCAGCTCAGACCGACAATCCAGAATTAATAAATGAAATTCAATTTTTGTGTTTAGCATTACGTAATTAATTGAGTCCGAAAGCAGAAAAATCTTCCACAGATTGTTTCCATATTTCACTCTAAGAAATAAAAAAGATAGATAATCAGAAGAAATACCTGAAGAAAACCGGAAAATCTTCCACGAGGCAATAACGCAACGCGAATAAAGTAAGTTTATCTTTCGATAATTGTGTATATCTCGAAAACGATTGGCATTAGGAGGAAAAGTTACACCTTTTCTTCATAGTCCATGAAATTTCCTACAAAAAACTTTATGACATTTCTTCTTAAAATGACCGTGTTATCCAATTAATCCCGAAGATACAAAAACTTTAAAAATTCAAGTTTTGACATTTCACATTTTCAATTAATTCATTCCGAGAGGCGAAAAATCCTTCGCTGATTGTTCCATCAATTCGTTCGAAGAAACGAGTCGCGAATGAAGAAGATAAATGATGAGAAGAAATACCTGAAGAAAATCGGAAAATCCTTCACAAGAAAAAAACACAACAAATAACTGCTTGAAATTGAAAAAAAATACGAGACGAATTCTGCCGCGCTCCGGAGTTCGTACGAGCCTGGATGCTGGCCAATCGTCAACTGACTTACACATTCGTTATACATGGGAGTTCCCTCCAGTTACCATTTCAACCTGTCGCTCATTTCAGAAACCATATTCATTTTTTTATTTATTTCCTTTCTACTCCTATGGAGGTCGGATCATCGTATCGGCCACGGGGTTCCGGTTTTCCGTGACCAAGGTCAATCCTCCAGCGCCCGGTCGTCCTTCTCGATGTGTTCGAGGTATTTCAATGTTTGTTCAGAAAAATAATAATTTTCAAATCAATAATATTTCTCTCAATCTCAAAACGATGATACGTTTTACCCCAGTAATTTTTCAATTCAATGGAATTAATTTTTCGTTTCATTTTGTTTTTGTGAAATTTTTTCGTGATTGAAAAAAAAGAGACGAGAAGTTCTGATTTTCAGTATTTTTAATTGAATTTCAGATGATTTCTCGCGGGAATATTTTGTTATTGAAATTTATTAACTCTTCTTTCCAGTGATATGTTCAAACTTCACAAAAACGAACGGGAAAACAAGTCGATTCAGAAGCGAATTCCTAATTTATTATCAAGTATTTTTGATACTAAATACGATTATCAAAAATATCAAATATTTTGAAAATTATCAAAAATATTAAATATTAAATATTTCAGGATTTAAAATATTTTTGATAATAGATTGGGAATTCGCTTCTGAATGGAATTTCCATGACGATGTATATTTATTATATATTTTGCATTAACACTTGTTACCCTCCCCTAAAAATTGGTTTCACAATAAATTTTTTCAACAGCAGATGGTGAAATCAACCTCATGATCAAACTCTATTGAGATGGCGTTGGGAAGAATATTTTAAATCCCAATTGAATTCATTTAAACAATTATTTTGTCGAGTTATGGTCACATACATCCGGAGATGGTCTAAAAATAATATATTCAAACTACTGCAACCGAAATTGCACAACATTTCGAATGCACAAGGTACATTTACTAATAATAAAAAGAAGCAACAAAAACGGCAGAATATCCCTCTTTAAAAAAAGAATGTAACGTTTTTTGTCAGCAATCTATTTCGCCACGCTTGACCTAGGATTATTTCCATTCTAAATTTGAATATCTTATATATAGGAAGAAAATATTGTTAAAAATATGCATCTACTTATATAGATTTTTCTAAATATTGCATTAAAAAAAATTATCTCTCTATATTCTAAAAATCCAAATCGAATTCTGGTGACGAAAATTTGGTACTCGAAATTAAATCTTCAAAATTAAGGATCAGAAAGGTTAAAATAAGGGTCATATGGGTCAGACTAATAGCTTCAGGCGCGTGCTGAGCGCGCATCCTTTCCCTAGTTGCAAAAAAAATCGTTCACTCCTAGAACTTCGTTCTTCCTCTCAATAAAAACGTTGAAATACCCGTCTGTTCACGTTTTCCATCGTGCGGAAAATTTGAGGGTCTCCAGAGGCGCCACGTCCGCTTGCGTAACCCGACAAATGAGGTGAGAATAAATAAATATGTGACGAGACTGCTCCAATTTGCCCACGTTTTGTCATCCAACTCGTGTATTCCCTTTGTTTATTAACTCTCCTGATTTTATATCTCCGTTAATTCAGTCTCAATCACTATTGGCCATTTCGAATGGTGAAAGTTATATGCACGCGGAAGAGCAGACGACATGTCAAGTGATGTGTAATTATTGGAATGTCGTCGCTCATACGTGTGTAATCTATTTCGATAAATGAACGCCTGTGAAGAGTAATTCATAACAATGCCCATATTTCTCTCTTTATTTATCTTGTCGTGATAATTATGCGCAAAAAGATATAACTATTTTTCAACTTTTCACTTCGAGTTTTAACTCGTAAGATATGCGTACGACTTAGTGAGGCCGTTCTCTCGTTTTTTATTCTCATCTCATTTGAATTTTCTTTTGTTTACACTTGTCTCTCATTTATTCATGATCATTGGGTGACTCAATCCCCGCATGCAATGTCGTTTTTCATTTTACGCGGGGAATACATTCAGGGTGATTATCGTGAATGTCATTGATCCGGAAATTTCTCGGGGTTTTCAAATGTATTTGCGACATTCATTAGAAAATTTTGCGCCGGTTGTTGTCTCCTTTGACGAGATATTATTAAACACGTGAATGAACTGGGTAAAACTCTATGTAAGGGAACTCTGTACAATTATGACTATAATATTTTTGTTCGCCCTTAGGAGATCTCTGCTTCTCAGGGTATCATGAAACGATATTAAATTAGTTTAGTCATCGTTCTTTCGTTAAAATTTGATTCAATGCATAAATACTGAAATGAAATCAAAACGAAATTTTAATTTCGTCTAGATTTGATTTTCTTTTTCCATCTGTTAGCTAATTTATTGTAAATCTAAAATAGGACCATTCAAAATTGCTATTCTTCAAATGAAATGAAAATTCATGAATTGAAAAAAACCGTGACATTTTTTAAAAAATTTTGTGAGAGAAATGCTGACGCAGTTGGAGCCTCGGAGGGCCTGTGCCTGTTGTTGTCTCATTTGCCCAGATATTTATGGGCCTTGAGAGCTGTCGTTTGTATCTACGACGTCAAGGGATCAGTGAAAAGAGTTTGGGTCCGTAGATATATAATTACAATAGCCATGGTTTTTTCGTTAAAATTCCTGTCCTTCGCTTTTGACCCTAGTTTATCGGAAAATTCAGCGATTATGTCAATATTTAGACATTAAAGGTTTAAATATAAAAAAATCATGAAATAAAAATTCACGAAGTAAAAAAAATTGAAGTGAATATGCATGAAATGAATGGATCCGTAACATTTTGAGAAAATTTTTAAACGATAGGAGAAAATGAGAGAAATTATGACGCAATCGGAGGGCCCGTGCCGGTATTTGCCTCCTTTCTCGGGATATTTACGGGCCCTAACCGCGGTAATTGGGGATGCCTCGTACCTTTGACGTCAGGGG